AAAATAAGATGTTAGAGTATCTAGGAAAGTATCATTTTCTTCGTCATAATACTGTTCGAGTGGCATTATAAATCTTACATCACAATTTATTAACCCCGTCAGTCCGTTTTTACAGTTTTAGCAATAATACTTACTTGGTGCAAGCCATTCCAATTTCACCACCCGCCACACAGAAACAAAATCCTTCAGGTTTGTTATTATTTACTTTATTGTTGGTAATGAATTTAAATTTTCAAAGAATATAGCTCTTAAAGTACTAGGCTTTAGATTATTGTCTTACAAGTAAAAAGTTAAAAGCAAATAAACTTTGCTTTAAAATTGTAATACTGGAGCAGCAATCAAACTCTACACGACTTGGCCAACTAGAATTTGGTCCATGTAATTTAAACCACTAATATAATCAAAAACTCATAAAAGGTGTCATCCAACTGCAAATTAATTCTGTCTGAAAGGTTCAGTTTTGGCGGCATTTACATTTGTTTCTTTTACAAGCTGGATTCACTCCGTTATATATTCCATATACTACCAACATTTCCTTCGCCCTTAGAAATGGAGGTATTGATAATAATGGATGGGTTGCACGGTTTTTTTCCAAATGCTTGTTATGTAATTTTGCATGATTTCCGTGACTGAACTTTTTTATACAAATTTTAAATTTACAGAAAAGGACAGGTTGATTGCTATGAACAATGATCTTTGGCGATGTGGATACCTAAATAAGAACATCTTCTGCATGCTTAAATGTATAGTTTCTTAAGGTGAATGTGTGACCTAATTCTGAGTCAACAAGGGAGAAGACTACAGTTTTTAGGGACGTATATCCTAGAAAAAAGAAAAGAGGGGGAAGGGGAATAGTTTCTTTGACTTGGTGATGCATGTTGTTAGCATTCTGTTGGGAGAAAAGGGAAATACTTAGTGATAGAGGAGGGTGGAATGAGAGGAGAGGATGAGAGAGGAGTTTCCAATTTTGTACTTAGTTCCTTTTGTTTGAAGAACACCACTATATTTTTCAGTCATTTGGGATTCTACTTATGCTTTTCTGTCTGGTATCTTAACATTATGTGACCCTTTGTCAAATACAAGGGAGTAAATAATAATGTAAAGCTTTTTTTTTTTTTTTTTCTATTCCATTAATGCAAAGCAAAGTTTTGGAATTGAAATAAGGTTTTCCGTTTAATTCTGTTAATCCTTGTAGGTAATAGTTTCAGATCTATTGGAGTCATTGCTGGAGGAGTTGCTGTAGGCGCTGCACTGTTGTTTGCAGCTCCAGTAATTGCATTTGTTTACTGCAAAAGAAGGAAGCCACCAGATTATTTCTTTGACGTTGCAGGTTGGTGGATTAGCACGAAAAGATGGTATACACACTGATTTATTTATGATAATCACATCTAATTTTTGTGTCTTCCACCGGCAGCTGAGGAGGACCCTGAAGTTAACTTTGGTCAACTTAAAAGGTTTTCACTGCATGAACTGCTAGTTGCAACAGATGGTTTTAATAACAAAAACATTATTGGTAAAGGTGGATTTGGCAAGGTTTATAAAGGACGCTTAACAAGTGGTGATCTAGTTGCAGTAAAAAGACTTAACCAAGAACGTATCCGGAGTGAGGAGAAACAATTTCAAACAGAAGTGGAAATGATCAGCTTGGCTGTGCATCGAAATTTGCTTCGCCTGATTGGTTTTTGTATGACAACTACTGAAAGATTGCTTGTGTATCCTTTCATGGTTAATGGAAGTGTAGATTCATGTTTACGAGGTACCTCTATTAGGCTACTCTGTCGAGGAAGATTAATGTGATATGCTGCTTTTATTGCTAATTTACCTCAACTTGTTTCTCTAGTAAAACACCTTTCATCTTACATGTCCTTTTCGGGTAGTTATGCAAGCCTTAATTTGTTTCTGTTACTTTTTGTAAAATAAAAATTGTGTATGTCAGACATGTGTTATATCTAGCAGGAGCACATTCACACAACAGTTTAGATGAGTTTTTTAAATTTGATCCTTTGTCAGTACCTTTTTTTCTTTTCACAAAATTATCCAATTTTGTTTGACCACATCATTTGATGCGGTTGAAAGAGAATACAAATAAACTCTGCAGCTAAATAGTGCAAAAGCAATTGAAATTTCTTGTAGTTAAATTTCAGTAGGCTTTTTTTTTTCCTTCAAATAGTAATGTTTTATGTATGTTGATTTTATTTTGTAGATCGACCAGAATCACAACCACCACTTCAATGGCCAGTTCGGAAGCGTATTGCTCTGGGAGCAGCTAAGGGGCTTGCATATCTGCATGATCATTGTGACCCGAAGATTATTCATCGTGATATCAAAGCTGCTAATATATTATTGGATGAGGACTTTGAAGCGGTTGTTGGAGATTTTGGTTTAGCAAAGCTTATGGATTACAGAAATACTCATGTTACTACTGCTGTACGTGGGACACTTGGCCATATACCACCAGAGTATCTTTCAACTGGAAAGTCTTCAGAGAAGACTGATGTTTTTGGATATGGCGTGATGCTTCTTGAGATAATAACTGGACAGAGGGCTTTCAATTTAGCCCGACTTGCCATTAGTGATGAGGTTATGTTGCTCGAATGGGTAGGTATTATTATGTTCACTTAAGACATGCTATTAGTACTAGATCAATTAGCAGCCACATGTATTTTTCTAAGTGTTGAAGATTTCACATCCATCAGATAAGACAGATATATAATATAGAAGTGCAAACTTACAAACCGATTTCGTAAGATTTAGTTAACCTTAAAAGTCATATTGTTGAAGGAAATATTTTGGCACTAAACAGTTAATTCCTAGTTGTTGTTTTAATTGTTGCCATACATTTCTACTTGAAGTTTAGAAACCTCTTTTTTTCCCTATTCTATTTTTGTGTTTTCATATAACTAACTACCCTTTGGAAATACCATACAAAATTGAGTTGGTTGTTATTTCTGTCCTAGATTCTAGAATCTCATCTTTCTGGTTATTGTGTAGTTTATTGTTGTTGCATGAAGTATGTGCTGATGTTAGCACCAATGACCAATGGATTCTATTGGCAAATACATGACATTATTTTAATCCCAGGTGAAAGCACTTCTGAAGGAGCAGAAGTTAGAGACACTGGTGGATGAAGATTTACAGGGAGATTATGATGGGGGGGAACTAGAGAAGTTAATTCAAATAGCTTTGCTGTGCACACAAAGTTCCCCTTTGGATAGACCAAAGATGTCTGAGGTGGTGAGAATGCTAGAAGGGCAAGGTTTGGAAGAAAAGTGGGACCAATGGGGGAAGAAAGAGGATATGATCCAAAAAAATTACAACCCCTTCAATCTCTACGATGGTTACGACTCAATTTCAAATATTCCACCAGATGAACTGTCTGGTCCTAGATGATCTTTGAAGAAACAAATAGTTACTCAAAGCTCCAAAATGTTGGCTTAGTGAACCGTATATAATTATTGTGCAATGCAGTGGTGAATTGTAGTTCGTGTCTAAATATTCCTTAGCTTTGATCATTGTTACTTCACTGCATGTTCACTGAGCGTTCCTCCTACATTTTGAAAAGGTTCTTCACCTGACATTAGTCATTGTGGGTTGTAGAATATAGTCATGCTTGTTGTTTACTCCGAGCAAGTTAGTGCAAATAGTTTGTTTGTAAGTATTGTGGAGGGAGAATAATCACTATAGAAGAAGGAAGACAAAGAGTCTACTACAATATTCTAAGTACAGTAGCTTAAATGTTATAAAAGGTTTCTTTCTAATAATATGAGATGTAAACTTACATAAAGTTAAATGCTACCACTAATTCTCATCTAATCACTAATCATACACCTAACTTTCCCCCAAAACAATATTTATAATTTATCATACAGCTAACATTCGTAGATAACATCCTATTACCCTTACTACAAATAGAGTTACCAGATAAAATCCTTCAAAAATCACTCCTACTTAATGGTGCCAACATTTCCTATAAATATAATTCCTAGGTAATTAATTTTTTCTACCGTACTATCCACTTACATACAAATATACATTTGTAGTTAATATTTGTACATAAAATTGATTTTCCCTATACATTTTAATCGTACGTAATTAAATCAACATTAGCAGTCTCTTTTAGTTACATTATTGTTACTTATATTTTTTAAAATCATTAATTATTATTTAATATTTAAAATTTAATTACTAAATATTATTTAAAAATTTAAAGTTGACTAATATTTTTTTTTAAATTTAATTTTAGAATTCTATCCATTCAAATAAATAATTTTAAATAAAATTTTGCATTACATTATTTAAACAAGAAATTCAAATTTAAGATACTTCAATTACTCTATACAAATATGTTATTAAAAAATAAAAAAAATAATTATAAGTAATTCAAATATACCTATTTCAAATTTTTAGAATTATTGAATTAGGGAGAGTGTCTTCTAATTTAAAATTAAAATTCATCAAAAAATATATTTTTACTCTCCACTCTTGGGCCATATAGGTTGCATTGAAAGGATAATTTCACCTCATCAACCTAAAAAGTAGAAGTCAAAATAATAATAATAATAATAATAATAATAATTATAATGCTAATTAATAATAATAATAATAATAATAATAATAATAATTATAATAATAATAATAATTATAATAATAATAATACAGTAAGAGACTGAAAGTCAAAGTAAATTAGCTTATAAGTGTATAAGCAATAGCTTACATTGACTCCATGTATGACAACAGATAAGTAAACCCAGACAAACAAAATGTCGCAATTAATTATGCAGAAACATCTTCGTATGCACAGGGCATTGTCGTCGTGGGGACCGTCCTAAGTCTCCAAGGGCGCGTTTTTGACCCTTTCCTCATACTTCTCTATTCAAACTTCTAACACATGCAAATTCTTCTAAAGGTTGGATTTTTATAATTATTATAATATACAAGTAAGATTTAAAACTTGCCTTTGAAATCAATGACCAATAAACCTACTTCCTAATACTATATGAAACTTACTTTCTCATCACAATTTTCTTGAAATCAAGAATAGAAACAAGTGACAGAAGTATAACAAAATGAAGAAATATCTGGGCCAGAAAATGCAACATTCATAGACTTGCCTCTCCTGTCTTTTCTCCATATCCCAATTTAGTGTTGGTGTAACTGAGTTGACTGAGATTTCTTTTGGTCAATTTGCTTATGGGCTTGAAGGGTATAACGGATATCACCTAGTCCTTGAGAGGGGCTCTGTATGAGGGATATTCAAGTGCATGTGCATGAGTGAAGAGAAGGGGCAACATGAAGCAAGTGATTTCATCTTTCAGGTGTTTGTTTCTTCTTTGTGCATTTTTAGTGCTTGACTTCATGGTCAAGGTTTCTGGCAACCAAGAAGGTGGGTTTTTACTTTTTTCTTTTTTACTGTTTCTGTTCTTGTTGTTGCCTTTCAGCTTTATTGTTTCTGGCTCATATATTAGATTGAGTAATAGAAATGGAGGAGTTAGCATGCAATGTGAAAACAACAATTAGGGGAATAAACTGAAACATAGTTAAGGACGAAATAGAAAGCAATCTTTATTTTGGAGGAGAAATTTCGGTCTTAAATATTTGTATAGTGTGTTGGTGCTCTATATGACTAAAATGTTCTTGAGGAACTTGGACTTATCTCTTTACTTCCTGTATTTCTCAAAATTTCTTTAGAAACACCTGTTTGATTTTTCTACTCCTGTTTATTTAATATATGAAGTGTGTTTAATTGAACTTGAATATTACTTCTATGACAGGTGATGCCCTGTCTGCATTGAGGGGCAATATGAATGATCCCAATAATGTTCTTCAAAGTTGGGATTCTACCCTTGTCAATCCTTGCACATGGTTTCATGTTACATGCAATAATGACAATAGCGTGATCCGTGTGTAAGATATTTATGTTATTTTTACTTGTAGTTTTGTGAAATTTATCATAGGTCCTAAAATTATTTGGTTCGTAACAGAGTGCTCATACAGTGAAAAACCACTTTTCTTTTGTTGGGTAGTGATCTTGGAAATGCAAATCTTTCGGGTGAGCTTGTTGCACAGCTTGGTCAACTCCCAAATTTGCAATACTTGTAAGTTAAGAAAGGGATACGATATTGATGGCTGAATCAGATGTGATTAAGCAAGATTATTCTAAAAGTCAATATGATAACTATCATTCAGAAAATTTTCTTGAAAGTTGAAATGTTTCTACACTTTTTCCTGCACATTTTTAGCTTCAGACCTTTCCCACAAATGACGGAAGTGAATTATGTATGATATTCCTTATACTATAGTAGTCGACAACCTTAAGTATGTTATAGAATGTACTAAACCTAATTTAGCTTCTGTTACATGGAGTAAACATACATAAGATTAGAGATAGAGCTAGTAATAAAAACTTGGTGTGCACTGATTCAGATTATGGTGTTCATCTTGATTAAAGGTCTCTTTCTTGGATATCTTTATTGTTTGTAGCTGTGCTATCAGTTAGAAAGCAATACATCAATCAATTGCTGTATTATCTATAGCTAAAGTAGAACGTCTTTCATCTATAGATGATGTAAAAGGTTACTATTTGACTTCAAGATTTGGTTAGTCAACTTGGACTAACACAAGATGTTCTTGTTATTTGCGGTAGTCAAAATGCCTATTCACTTAACTTAGAATACTCATTATCCCAAGACCAAATACATTGACGTAAAAGATCTATTTGAGATTTAGTTGTTGTTGGTAAAGTTGTGGTGCAAACATTTGTTCGATAATGCAGCGGATATATTTACTAAGCATGTCTTGAATGCCAATTTTCAATGTTTATTGGAGTTGGTTAGTCTTTACTTCACTTGACATGGTAATGAGCAAGTAGACAAATTGGAGTGAGGGTGGGAGTTCAAATTCTTCTACTCTTTAATGCCATTGATATTAACGGTTATGATTTGATTTCCATTTAAACCATAATGTATATGAATATCTTTTAGTTATTCACAGGATCTTTCTCTGCCCAAATCTGAATATCTTTCTTTTGACAGGGAACTTTATAGTAATAATATAACTGGGAAAATCCCAATTGAGCTTGGGGGTTTGACAAACTTGGTGAGCTTGGATCTTTACTCGAACAAAATTACTGGTCAAATTCCAGTCGAATTAGCCAACCTTAAAAAACTACGTTTCCTGTATGAAATTCTTTCCTTGATCTCATATCTTTAATCTGCAGAGCTTATGTAGATCAGTTTCAATGCTGTTTCTTCTTTTTTAGCATTCATAAGATTTATATTCCTACATATTCCTCAATCACATTTGAGTTCCAACAAATCTTCTTGCTACAGAGAAGAATGACTCTGCACAATCACATGACATAGATGCTTATACAAGTTACAAACAAGCTATTACGTGACATAAGCACACACTCACTACACTTTCTACTTAATGATTGTTTTTGTTGTCTTGTTTTGTTACTCTTCTGTTATTAGTTTATTATCTTGAAAACTAAATGGCTCTGCTCCCTGAATCAGGCGTCTCAACAATAACAGCTTGTCAGGAAAAATTCCTATGCCTCTGACCAATGTCGATAAACTGCAAGTGCTGTGAGTTTTACTCCTATGTCTTGATACATTGCAATCCTATTTTGTGTAACCTGACACATGATTATTGAATCTAGTGATTTATCGAACAACAACTTAACAGGAGATGTCCCAACCAATGGTTCTTTTTCATATTTTACTCCCATCAGGTTGGTACAATTTAACTTTGTTTCCATAAGCACACTGAAAGAATCACACTACAACGGTTAGCCAACAGCCAGTTTGGTTCAGTAGAATCCTATCATTTTTTATGCAACACATTACTATTACTATTACCATTAGTTTACTATATTTATATATACTAATAATATTATCTGGGATGAGATATCAAAATTTTATTCACCTATTTCTTTGTCATTACAGTTTTAGGAGTAACCCCCTATTGAATAATATAGACACTCAATCTCCACCAGCTGCTGCACCACCAGCAAATTCTTCAGGTTTGTTTGTATCTGTTTTCTGCTTGGTAATGAATTTAATTTTTTAAAGAATAACCTGACATAAAAATATAAGGTGAAAAAATATAACTCTTAAAAATGCCCTCTGAATTATTTTGGTGGTATTCACTTACGTTTCTTTAACATGATGCATCCATTCCATTCCAACTTCAAATATTTCCATCACCCTTTTTAATCTGACAAGTTCTAAGCCAACTATATAAGGGATGGACATCACNGGGGGAACTAGAGAAGTTAATTCAAATAGCTTTGCTGTGCACACAAAGTTCCCCTTTGGATAGACCAAAGATGTCTGAGGTGGTGAGAATGCTAGAAGGGCAAGGTTTGGAAGAAAAGTGGGACCAATGGGGGAAGAAAGAGGATATGATCCAAAAAAATTACAACCCCTTCAATCTCTACGATGGTTACGACTCAATTTCAAATATTCCACCAGATGAACTGTCTGGTCCTAGATGATCTTTGAAGAAACAAATAGTTACTCAAAGCTCCAAAATGTTGGCTTAGTGAACCGTATATAATTATTGTGCAATGCAGTGGTGAATTGTAGTTCGTGTCTAAATATTCCTTAGCTTTGATCATTGTTACTTCACTGCATGTTCACTGAGCGTTCCTCCTACATTTTGAAAAGGTTCTTCACCTGACATTAGTCATTGTGGGTTGTAGAATATAGTCATGCTTGTTGTTTACTCCGAGCAAGTTAGTGCAAATAGTTTGTTTGTAAGTATTGTGGAGGGAGAATAATCACTATAGAAGAAGGAAGACAAAGAGTCTACTACAATATTCTAAGTACAGTAGCTTAAATGTTATAAAAGGTTTCTTTCTAATAATATGAGATGTAAACTTACATAAAGTTAAATGCTACCACTAATTCTCATCTAATCACTAATCATACACCTAACTTTCCCCCAAAACAATATTTATAATTTATCATACAGCTAACATTCGTAGATAACATCCTATTACCCTTACTACAAATAGAGTTACCAGATAAAATCCTTCAAAAATCACTCCTACTTAATGGTGCCAACATTTCCTATAAATATAATTCCTAGGTAATTAATTTTTTCTACCGTACTATCCACTTACATACAAATATACATTTGTAGTTAATATTTGTACATAAAATTGATTTTCCCTATACATTTTAATCGTACGTAATTAAATCAACATTAGCAGTCTCTTTTAGTTACATTATTGTTACTTATATTTTTTAAAATCATTAATTATTATTTAATATTTAAAATTTAATTACTAAATATTATTTAAAAATTTAAAGTTGACTAATATTTTTTTTTAAATTTAATTTTAGAATTCTATCCATTCAAATAAATAATTTTAAATAAAATTTTGCATTACATTATTTAAACAAGAAATTCAAATTTAAGATACTTCAATTACTCTATACAAATATGTTATTAAAAAATAAAAAAAATAATTATAAGTAATTCAAATATACCTATTTCAAATTTTTAGAATTATTGAATTAGGGAGAGTGTCTTCTAATTTAAAATTAAAATTCATCAAAAAATATATTTTTACTCTCCACTCTTGGGCCATATAGGTTGCATTGAAAGGATAATTTCACCTCATCAACCTAAAAAGTAGAAGTCAAAATAATAATAATAATAATAATAATAATAATTATAATGCTAATTAATAATAATAATAATAATAATAATAATAATAATTATAATAATAATAATAATTATAATAATAATAATACAGTAAGAGACTGAAAGTCAAAGTAAATTAGCTTATAAGTGTATAAGCAATAGCTTACATTGACTCCATGTATGACAACAGATAAGTAAACCCAGACAAACAAAATGTCGCAATTAATTATGCAGAAACATCTTCGTATGCACAGGGCATTGTCGTCGTGGGGACCGTCCTAAGTCTCCAAGGGCGCGTTTTTGACCCTTTCCTCATACTTCTCTATTCAAACTTCTAACACATGCAAATTCTTCTAAAGGTTGGATTTTTATAATTATTATAATATACAAGTAAGATTTAAAACTTGCCTTTGAAATCAATGACCAATAAACCTACTTCCTAATACTATATGAAACTTACTTTCTCATCACAATTTTCTTGAAATCAAGAATAGAAACAAGTGACAGAAGTATAACAAAATGAAGAAATATCTGGGCCAGAAAATGCAACATTCATAGACTTGCCTCTCCTGTCTTTTCTCCATATCCCAATTTAGTGTTGGTGTAACTGAGTTGACTGAGATTTCTTTTGGTCAATTTGCTTATGGGCTTGAAGGGTATAACGGATATCACCTAGTCCTTGAGAGGGGCTCTGTATGAGGGATATTCAAGTGCATGTGCATGAGTGAAGAGAAGGGGCAACATGAAGCAAGTGATTTCATCTTTCAGGTGTTTGTTTCTTCTTTGTGCATTTTTAGTGCTTGACTTCATGGTCAAGGTTTCTGGCAACCAAGAAGGTGGGTTTTTACTTTTTTCTTTTTTACTGTTTCTGTTCTTGTTGTTGCCTTTCAGCTTTATTGTTTCTGGCTCATATATTAGATTGAGTAATAGAAATGGAGGAGTTAGCATGCAATGTGAAAACAACAATTAGGGGAATAAACTGAAACATAGTTAAGGACGAAATAGAAAGCAATCTTTATTTTGGAGGAGAAATTTCGGTCTTAAATATTTGTATAGTGTGTTGGTGCTCTATATGACTAAAATGTTCTTGAGGAACTTGGACTTATCTCTTTACTTCCTGTATTTCTCAAAATTTCTTTAGAAACACCTGTTTGATTTTTCTACTCCTGTTTATTTAATATATGAAGTGTGTTTAATTGAACTTGAATATTACTTCTATGACAGGTGATGCCCTGTCTGCATTGAGGGGCAATATGAATGATCCCAATAATGTTCTTCAAAGTTGGGATTCTACCCTTGTCAATCCTTGCACATGGTTTCATGTTACATGCAATAATGACAATAGCGTGATCCGTGTGTAAGATATTTATGTTATTTTTACTTGTAGTTTTGTGAAATTTATCATAGGTCCTAAAATTATTTGGTTCGTAACAGAGTGCTCATACAGTGAAAAACCACTTTTCTTTTGTTGGGTAGTGATCTTGGAAATGCAAATCTTTCGGGTGAGCTTGTTGCACAGCTTGGTCAACTCCCAAATTTGCAATACTTGTAAGTTAAGAAAGGGATACGATATTGATGGCTGAATCAGATGTGATTAAGCAAGATTATTCTAAAAGTCAATATGATAACTATCATTCAGAAAATTCCTGACGATCTTTATATACTTGTTACATTATGTTAATGATATGTTTTGAAATGAAAGAAGTGGGTGCAACTATGAAAATTTTTGGTTTTAAGACTCACAGAGGCAGTCAAGCATGAAGATTATTCTTATCACAAAAGTAATATGCTGAAAATTTTCTTGAAAGTTGAAATGTTTCTACACTTTTTCCTGCACATTTTTAGCTTCAGACCTTTCCCACAAATGACGGAAGTGAATTATGTATGATATTCCTTATACTATAGTAGTCGACAACCTTAAGTATGTTATAGAATTTACTAAACCTAATTTAGCTTCTGTTACATGGAGTAAACATACATAAGATTAGAGATAGAGCTATTAATAAAAACTTGGTGTGCACTGATTCAGATTATGGTGTTCATCTTGATTAAAGGTCTCTTTCTTGGATATCTTTATTGTTTGTAGCTGTGCTATCAGTTAGAAAGCAATACATCAATCAATTGCTGTATTATCTATAGCTAAAGTAGAACGTCTTTCATCTATAGATGATGTAAAAGGTTACTATTTGACTTCAAGATTTGGTTAGTCAACTTGGACTAACACAAGATGTTCTTGTTATTTGCGGTAGTCAAAATGCCTATTCACTTAACTTAGAATACTCATTATCCCAAGACCAAATACATTGACGTAAAAGATCTATTTGAGATTTAGTTGTTGTTGGTAATGTTGTGGTGCAAACATTTGTTCGATAATGCAGCGGATATATTTACTAAGCATGTCTTGAATGCCAATTTTCAATGTTTATTGGAGTTGGTTAGTCTTTACTTCACTTGACATGGTAATGAGCAAGTAGACAAATTGGAGTGAGGGTGGGAGTTCAAATTCTTCTACTCTTTAATGCCATTGATATTAACGGTTATGATTTGATTTCCATTTAAACCATAATGTATATGAATATCTTTTAGTTATTCACAGGATCTTTCTCTGCCCAAATCTGAATATCTTTCTTTTGACAGGGAACTTTATAGTAATAATATAACTGGAAAAATTCCAGAGGAGCTTGGGAACTTGACAAACTTGGTGAGCTTGGATCTTTACTCGAACAAAATTACTGGTCAAATTCCAGTCGAATTAGCCAACCTTAAAAAACTACGTTTCCTGTATGAAATTCTTTCCTTGATCTCATATCTTTAATCTGCAGAGCTTATGTAGATCAGTTTCAATGCTGTTTCTTCTTTTTTAGCATTCATAAGATTTATATTCCTACATATTCCTCAATCACATTTGAGTTCCAACAAATCTTCTTGCTACAGAGAAGAATGACTCTGCACAATCACATGACATAGATGCTTATACAAGTTACAAACAAGCTATTACGTGACATAAGCACACACTCACTACACTTTCTACTTAATGATTGTTTTTGTTGTCTTGTTTTGTTACTCTTCTGTTATTAGTTTATTATCTTGAAAACTAAATGGCTCTGCTCCCTGAATCAGGCGTCTCAACAATAACAGCTTGTCAGGAAAAATTCCTATGCCTCTGACCAATGTCGATAAACTGCAAGTGCTGTGAGTTTTACTCCTATGTCTTGATACATTGCAATCCTATTTTGTGTAACCTGACACATGATTATTGAATCTAGTGATTTATCGAACAACAACTTAACAGGAGATGTCCCAACCAATGGTTCTTTTTCATATTTTACTCCCATCAGGTTGGTACAATTTAACTTTGTTTCCATAAGCACACTGAAAGAATCACACTACAACGGTTAGCCAACAGCCAGTTTGGTTCAGTAGAATCCTATCATTTTTTATGCAACACATTACTATTACTATTACCATTAGTTTACTATATTTATATATACTAATAATATTATCTGGGATGAGATATCAAAATTTTATTCACCTATTTCTTTGTCATTACAGTTT